ACGAGCAAACATAATGAAAGGAACACGATCAATTGTGTCCACTTTATTCCGGTCCACGCTACATTGGTCGTAAGCGAAGCACCTTTTAGCGAGTCAACGGCCTATTCTGGATCAAGTAAGGACTGATTTGCTTACTTCATTTTTTTTGGTTACTGTATTTGTCTTGTTTTGCTTCGCTAATTGGGGCAATATAATACACTGTATGTTTTGGGTTTTCTGTAGAAAAAAGAAACAGACAAACAAAAAAGAAAAACATGCGACATAATTGTGGATTAGGGTCGGAATTTAGTGACATGTTGTTTTGCACTTTCTGTTCCTCCTCGACCCCAAGTGAAATAACAGTAGACTTGATCATATTTACGATGGTTCTTATCTTTACGAAAAGCAGTAAATAAGACCAGGCGAGAAAAAATTAGAAACTCTGTAGTCCGAGAAACGGTCTGCACAAATGATGTCATGCATCACATCCAACAGCAAAGAATCAAATGGTTTGGACATCTACTACGATTACCAACACACCATCCAGAACAACGTGCCTACATAAAAAAAATTCGATGGCAACAAGGCTAGAGGGCGACCGAGAAAGACCTGGATAGATGGAGTCAAGGAAACATTAACCACTCACGGCATCCCTCTGACCCAAGCTCTCCGGCTGGCGACAGAGAGACGTCTCTTTCTTCCCGCGACACCCAAAAGGGTATAAGCGGCGGATAAAAGTAAAGTTGTTTTTATGACCGTTACAGTTTTACGTCCTCGTCAATACAGTTAGTTTGTTTAGGAGGCTGGCTGTTTCCACGCTGCCTATCAGTGCTAACCTGTGTGAGAGTTCTTGGACAGGGATACAACATCCTGGTGGGCAGAAAGATAAAGATGGTCCCTGAAATAGATTCTTCAGCATAGGAATCGAACTCACATCGTTTGCATGCAACGGAAGAGAGGCTAACCACTACAAGGAGAAACATAATCTATACATATATTATATTTGGGAAAGTTCGTCACTTTGGCCGCCATAATTTCCGAACGACTTAGCTTTCGAATTTGAAAAAATAATGGTTGTTGAGAATCATTTAAAGAGTGCACAGTTTTATTGATGAGCCTGAAGTCACTGTAGTTTAATTTTCAGTTTTTCTTTAGTTTTGCTTAGATCTATTCTTGGGGAACTCCGTCTTCTAAAACGCTATTGTAAACAAGTGAGGTTTCCGTTCACTAGCCATGCGCACTCGTTCCACATCTTTGAAATTCTGAAGTGTACAACCACGAAAGCGAAACAGAATCAATTTATCCATCTGTTATAATATATTTGGCAACTTGGAAAGACATGACATGTCACTTTTTCCATAAAACTACGACAGCTACAGAGTTGAAAGTTGGCAAGTACCTGCAAAAAGATAGAAGGGCCCTCATGAAGGAGCCCGATTTTATATTTATTCATTTCCTGATGTTTAGAAAAATATATTTGACAAACAGCTGCTGTTCTTCTTAGGCTTTTGTGATTCTTCCACTGAGAAATGAAACTAATCTGCGTAGCTAGCCTTCACAACGGAAGTGCCGGAAGCAATATTTCGAGAGGTGCATTTTGTTTTGAGAGTATAGACCTAAACCTTTTAATTTTTTGCATCTCTCAAGATTTATTGCTCCATTCCAGTAGAGTGTAAAAATATAGTATGCCAATGACTTTCAATTGATGTTAATGCACCGATCATTCCTTTCATCGAAAGGGGGCAGTTAGTACCTTGTATTAAATAACATTAATCTCTCCTTCTTCTTTCTTATCAAACATCTATCGTCCTTATCTCTCCGTCTTCTTTCTTATTAAACATCTATCATCCTTATCTCTCCTTCTTTTTTTTAATATCAAACAACTATCGTCTTTATCTCTCCCCTTTCTTTCCTAACAAACATATATCGTCCTTATCTCTCCTCCTACATTCCTATTAAACAACTATCGCCCTTATCTCTCCCCCTTCTTCCCTAACAAACATCTATCGTCCTTATCTCTCCCCCTTCTTTCCTAACAAACATCTATCGTCCTTATCTCTCCCCCTTCTTTCCTATCAAACAACTATCGTCCTTATCTCTCCTCCTTCTTTCCTATCAAACAACTATCGTCCTTATCTCTCCTCCTTCTTTCCTATCAAACAACTATCGTCCTTATCTCTCCTCCTTCTTTCCTATAGTGCGGTAAAAAATTCGTGGCGCAACTTATCCTCAAATACATTTATAACGGGTGAATCATTGTCACCCATACTTTGAACAGCAGTTTGTCTCAATTTGTTTTAACTTAATCATATTTTTCCACAACAACAGAGACTAGACTTTAAAAAATTTGTTCATCAATTTATATAAAATACTACAAACCGCCTTCACGCGGAAAATAGGATTGTTCACAGCATTTCCCTCTTCTCACACACATTTTGTATACGTATATGGGTTACGTCACAACTCACCAATGACACTTTTAGTGGTAAAACTAGTTACAAGAAATCAATTTTATAGTGAACACTTTTTTGCACTAAAAGTTATCAAAACATGCGTTCTATAAAGATAATCTCACGATTAGAAAAACATGGCGGACTTGCTTTTAAAAGAGATATCGTCCCAGCTGTATACCTTTTAAAATAAGTAGAAACCACCCACTACGATTTTTTATGAGTATTTATTCAGGAATTTTCCAGAATAGATCTTACAGGTCTTTACAAAAATATTAATCTATTAAGATCAATATCGATACAAATTACTGTGCAAAAGCTGGAGCGTTTATGTTCGATAGTTGAGTAGATATTTGACAATATATTGCACCACGAATTTTTGACCCCACTATAACAAACATAATATATCGTCCTTATCTCTCCTCCTTCTTTCCTATCAAACATCTATCGTCCTTATCTCTCCTCCTTCTTTCCTATCAAACATCTATCGTCCTTATCTCTCCTCCTTCTTTCCTATCAAACATCTATCGTC